CTTAATACCTCCGGTGGAATATATGGAATTGAACCATAAACATTAGTGTTTTTGTTATCAGAATTTAAAGTTAAATCATTAGATAATTTACATAAACCTGGGTCTATTATTACTTCTAATAAATCTAGCTCAGAATTTTTCATCGAAATATTTCTACTATGTAAATCACAGTGAACTAAGTTATTTCCATGTAAAATATCAAGACTTTCTATTATTTGATATAACAATTCTGCTTTTGATTCCCACCCAATTTTTAGAAAGACATCAGATAAAAAGCTATGAATAGTATTATTACATGATTCCATAACAATAATGTGGTTTTGCGTGGAAGGATTTTTTGAAATTCCAAAAAATCCAGTGATGCATGAAGAATAAAACCAATCAATCGTTATATCTTTAATCTGAAATATTATGAAAAAAAAATGTGTGAACGAATAATACATAAAATATTTTCAACAATAAAAGTTTATAATTGTTTATAATTTAGGTAATCTAAGTATAAAAGGAACATACCGCTTTAATAAATTCTAAAATATTATACTTATAATTTTTTAATTCCTTCAAAGCAACAACACGATGTCCACTGAAATTTCTTAATCTAGTTAAATGCAAAGTGTAATATTCATTATCGGCTATGGGTTTCATATCATAAAAATTATCATAAGGTATCCATCGTAGATTTTTTGCAGAATTATTTATCCGAGATTCTTGGATAATCTTATCAATGTTAGCATTCCCGCTAGACCAAGTTCTAAAATTTTTATTGTCCATATTATAAATTTCGATTATGAAGTCAATGTAACTAGATAATGACCAGCGGAGGCTGTTGAGTTGAGTGAATAATGATCCACATGATCAATGTGTTATAAATAAATATGTGGTGTGAAAATCAGTGTATATTAAAGTGACACAAAAATATTGACCTTATTTATTAAATTAATTTTTTTAAAGAATACTGCTAAATTTCGAAAATTTTATAATTATTTATTTAAGGGTTTGTTTTTCCACGTATTTGCGTTCCGGGCGCACGGGTTTATAAGAGGTGACAAATATGGTTTTCACATGCTAAAAATTCGAATACTATTGCATTTAGTCATATGATAAAAATTTATGAAATTCACCAATAAAGTAGCCCCATGCACCATCCTTTATTTATTTAATTGTCTAGTATCTAACTTTTCTAATAAATGAGGATGTATTTTCAAATAGATGTATTATTCAAGTTCAGTGGAATTGACTGCTGTAATTAGCGGAAAAGTCGTACGAAATTTGAAATATCAAGAAAAGTTCTTATACAGTAAT